CTGGCCGGACCGGAGCAGAGCGAAAAATAGCTCGGCTCCGTATTTTGTCGGTGATGGACGGAGAAGACGTACGTTGACGGAGACGTGCGGAGGAGTAGCGGTGGATGTGGAACAACTCTCGTTGATTTACATGTAAGACAAGCGCTCCGCACGACGTACGTCAGCGGGGCGGAGGGGAGCGCTGACGGAGTATGTGGAATCTGGGGGTAAGGGGCACCTTTGCATGTTTTGTTTGGTTTTTATTTGGGCTTTGTCTGGCCATGTAATATTGATTTTATTGATGTTTCCCAACTGTATATTTATTATTGCTATTTGCACAACCCCAATTCAGCCAATTGTATACTTGTCCTGCTTTAAATACAGCCCATCAATCAACTGTTTTGCCACATATTATATTTTTATATAAGATTTTAGAACAACTAATAATGATGCTTTTATATTTCTGCAAATAAACATACAAATATTTTACTACTAATTAAGTCTCTTTACACTTTATTTTACACTTGGTCACACAAAATAATAAAAAAAAAACATATGTGTTTTATTTGGATAGATAAAAATAAACAGAAAAATATCCAAAATAAATGATAACAGGCTTTATAAGTCAGAGATAAGCAGTAAAAATCTTGAAACTAAATAGATATAGTACCATTGAAATGTTTTATAAATTCCATTTGTGTCAGAATCAGTGATTAAATCTTAGATTTTCTGATAATTTATACAGCAGAAAAATATATTCTGTTAAACAATCAAACTGATCAAAAATAATCTTAAAAGAAATGAAATCGGAAAAGAAACAGCCTTGAAAACGAACTAATGATTAGAAAACAGTGTCCGCAAAATGGGAAAAAAAGATTTATAATCTTTCTGTCCTCTGATTCAACGCACATTGTGACATCACTAATAAGACAAATGGTGGTTTTATATTTCGTTTTTTCAATCAAAACAATTTAAATTCTAACTAAACATCTAAATCATAATTGTAAAAGCTGATAAAAGAAACTAGAATAAAAAGTTTTTAGTCAAATAAATTTCATCACTTTAAAGTTAACTAGTCTGAAAATAATAAAGAAACCTCAGATTTATTGATTTTGATGTCAGATGCTTTAGCATCAGCAGCGTCTCTAACAAAGAAATAAGGAAAAAGTTTCTCAGTGAAAGTGTCTCTGTGAGTGTAGATGTGAGACATGTCTTCAGGGTCGTAGAAGGACACCTCCCCCCTGTCATAGTCCAGCTGGACTCTGATCCTCTGGAGACTCTTCTTCACTTTAATGATGTTGGCCAGACTCTCAGCGTATTTACCCTTATAAAGCCCTAAACGTATGATTCCATTTTCTGGTAAAAATTTGAAATCTCCCTTCCTGTCAACAGACTCTTTAACCAAACCAACATACCAGTGAGGAAGATCTCCAACCTCCACCTCCCAGCTGTGTTTCCCTGAGCTGAAGCCCTCAGAACCAAAAACCCAGACGTAGAAACCATTTCTCTCTGGATTATCAGGAAGCTGCTGCTTTGTGTCTCCATTTCTCACACTGGTCAGATCATCAGACAGATACAGGTATCCATTAGCAGTGTTTGGGTCCAGAATAACAGGACTGAAGTGGACCTTGTCCTTCATCTTCTCCCAGACTCTGAAGGACAGGTTGCCCAGGTGTTTGGCCACATCTATCAGAGCTCCTGAGACCAGCTGTGGATCTGACAGTGAGCTCTGGGCTCTGGCTCTG